ACATGGTATCATTACAAAGTACGTCATATCCTACACGCCTGAGACAGACACGGGCGAAAAGGAAGTACCTGCATCCGTTCTGAAAGCGGTCGTAAATGGACTCAGTCAGTCTACAACATATTCATTTCGAGTTAGGGCTGAAACTGTGAAAGGTGCAGGTCCAAAAAGCGATCCTAAAAATGAGACAACTGAAGGTAAGGAAATCAAAATAATCATTTGTTTTTCTTACGCATGTACTCCATTGAGTCTACGAGACATTTCCTAGTTTTCAAAATTATCTTTTTTTTCTGTAGTCGTACGTTTTTAGTTTTCGCTCAAAATGGTTTGTTGAACGATTTGGGAACGCCACTAGAATAACTTGATGCTGCAGGCTTGGCCGAGATCATTCAACAGAAAACATAGCATGAAATAATTGAAAAGGGAGAGCTATACTGGCACAGGTTAGCAGTTGAGCAGCATAGCATTTTGGTGGTTGGCAGGCCCCTAAACTATCCCAACAGTGCCCTCCGCATCAACAATTTTGATATCAAATACAGGTAAACATAAGGATCGCATTTTTACAGATATATTTGCAAAATCTTATTATGGAACCAGACATTTATAAATGAAACCTTCAAGTTATTTTGCGATTTAAACACCAATACAGTCGACTCTCGCCTTCCTTACACCCCGCTATTATGGACACCCCGCTATTTAGGACACACCGCTATTTAAGGACAGAAGCTACATCCCCGGAAAAAGAGAAACAAATGTATGAGAATAAGTCCTGTTATTACAGACTCCCGTTATTATGGAATTGCGGCCACTAACACGTTCCAAAAACAAATGGGATATTCTAAAACGCCGATTTTTTGGCAATGATCAGCCACTTCAATGAAATTTTTACCAGGTGCGGTCAAGAACCACGTAAGGTTGGCAAGATTTCTGAAGAAGAAGTTAAATTTTACAACAAAGTCACTTCCTGTTGTAAAATTTACTGTTGTGCGTGAAGGTACATGGAAATGTCCATGTACCTTAACATGTGTAGTGCAGGAAGGTACATGGAAATTTCCATGTATCTTAATATGTGTAGTGCAGGAAGGTACATGGAAATTTCCATGTACCTTGACATGTGTGGTGCAGGAAGGTACATGGAAATTTCCATGTACCGTGGCATGTGTATTGCAGGTTTTGCTTTTCACCTGCGTTACCTTTGAAAGAAATCATGCTTTCAGGTAAATTTCCATGTACCTTTTTGCATTACTCTGTAAGGGTACATGGAAATTTCCATGTACCTTAAGATGACACATAAAATGTATGAGGAATATTTATGCAGCTCTTAAATCGTTTCCTGTTATGAACGTGTCAGATAGCCCTTAAAGGGTCCTTAAACGAAATTTAGTGAGTGAGACGAGGTAGATGTTTCGAAAATATATGATATCACACAAAATTTATTGTAAGATACACAACACCCATTCAAGGTCTTAGCAAGACAGCTCTCTTTGGAAGATTCATGGACCTAGAAACAACATATGTCAATACATTGTAAAACATGTTCTGAAATCTTTTAACGTTGCGAAGAGTTCGGTTTAGTCCCTTGTTTGGTTCGTGTTGACTGTGTTTATCTTGGGCTGCATGTATGGATTTCAGCATTCAACGACTGAATATCAGTTAACTGCTTACCCAGAATACGCCATCTCCTTTATATATTTACATGTAATCGGTCTCAAAACGTTTTCTTCACTTAAAGATATTTTTTTAACTTTATGAAGGGAATGATTAGGTTTTCAATGCAACACGTACGTTTTCGAGAATTACAGAAATGGCGCACTTTTGGATATTAAATGACCAGAGTACTGACCCACAAAGATACTTGACACGTTCGACTATTTTAATTCCAGTCATTTAAACTTAGCAAGGCAAAATTAATATTTTTTT